ACAGTCTCTGATTATATGGATCATTGTGATCCATAGAGGTTTCACTGGCTGATTTTAGGAAGTAGACTATCAGGCCTTTCATCCTAGTCTGTCTTTGTCTGGAAACCTCTTCAGCATCATTGTTGTTGCTGCTGTTATTTGCCCTTGAGTCAGACCCAACTCATAACGACTCCTCCTTAGATTTCTGAGGTGGTATCACTGCGGAAGTAGATTGCCCAACCTTCCTTCTGAGGAGTGGCTGGTGGGTTTGAACCGCCAGCCTTCTGGTTAGCAGTCAAGTGCCTTAGGTACTATGCTACCATCAGCATCATAGCAACCCACAAACCTCCAGTGACAGATGGGTGGTGGTTGAGCTTGAGGTGCATTGGGCAGGAATCAAACCCAGATCTCCTACACGGAAAGCAAAAATTCTACCACAGAACCAACACTGCCCTTGGTCCATACACTAGTCTGAAGACCTTGAATCTGTTCCTGGAAGCAGCAGGTTAAAAAGCTTTCCACTTGAAATAGAAAATACCAAGGTTGAATTGAGTGTCAATGGGACCCTAAGGTCAGCTGGGGCCTTCTGGTTATAGAGAGCTAACGGAGCTTCTTTGAACTCCTATTTTCAGGGCCTTTTAAGGAGAATTTATCCTCCTTCCCCAAGAGTTCTGTAAGTGTTATGTGATGTGGTCTGGCTCTTCAGGTCACAAATGGTCTCTGTTGGCTCTACCTTTGTGTCACCCAGGAGCAAGTTCAGTTGCTTGCTCATTTCTACCCCAAGTCCATGCACAGTGAGTGTTGTACACACTGTCATAAATCTGAATTTTTAGGAGGTTTGCTCTAGAGGAGCCCAGTGAAGCATATATATAAATATATAAAGAGAGATTTATTTCAAGGAAATGGCTCATGCAATTCTGGAGGCTAGCAAGTCCTAAATCTGTGGGACAAGCAGCAGGCTGGAGGCTTCTCCTGACTCACATGGTTGCAAGGGCAGTTGATTCCAAAATCTACAGGTCAGGCAGCAGGCTACTTGCCCATATGCAAAGAACCAGATGTCAGAGTATGACAAGATGGATGTAGGATTAAGGGAAAGCATAAGCTTTGTCAGAACATCTGTATGTATTGGATGCAGGCCATACCCCCTAGGAAACTCCTCTTCCAACTGATTGGCTGCTCACATCACATCACAAAATGGATGATGATTACATAATGTCTGTGAAACCACTGAGAATCGTAGCCTAGCCAACTTGACACATAACATTAACCATCACAGAGCGGGTCACAGGTCCCTCTGTGGTACATAAAGTTTGTGCTAGACTTCTACTAGCCTTAAGGTGGCCAGTTCAAACCCACTCAGCTGCACCACAAAAGGAAAGCTGTAAATATTAGAGCCAAAACAACCCTATGGAACAGTTCCACTGTGGGGTTGACACACATGGTAGGGGTCACACGACACATCGGGTTACCTTCTACCCTTTTGCTGCTTCCACTGTACTCCTAACTTTCTTCTTTTATCTTCTGGGTCCCATTCAAGACAAACTCATAAATCTCTCCCCATATCCCAGTGTCTCCATAACCAGGTTGTTGCCTGTCTCCACTGCTGCCTCAATCTGGCTGATGAGGACTTTTCACAAGGGCAATGGATTGGGTATTATCCTAAAGAGAAATTCTCATAAGGTCTCCTAAATAGAAAAAAAAAAAAAAAAAATCACTTGTTTTAAATAACCCTCCCCACATTGCCTAATAACTACAACTCACATTTATGGAGTATTCACTAGATACAGATCGCTGTGTGGAGGAGACACATTAAAATTCACAGCTACCCATAACTGAACCCTGGGAAGTTCAAAGATCTGGCCAAGTCACTCATCTAGAAAGTGACAGAGCTAGGATTTGAACCCAGGGCAATTAGGGTAAGTGTCACTTAGGGGGTCCTCGCACATTATCCTGCCTTTTGCTGTGCTGCATACCAAGGCCAAAATGGCAGCATCCATGGAGCATAACCACACCACTCGAATGCCATTTACAAGGAGAGTTTTGAGCTAAACCATAGAGGACGTTTCTTGTTGTGAGGCTCATTTTTGAGACCCAAAGGGTCACCAGGAACAGAACACTTGGCTTCAACCCTTTTTTTCCCCATTTCTTATGGCTAGATTATGTGCAACCTGCAGAGCTGTGGGGGAGACCCTGATCATCCTTGGCAGCTTAAATGCCTCCTCTGCCCACACATCACTGGGCTGAATGTTACCCATGTGGTTGCTGATGTGGTCTCGAATTAGGCAGCTTGAGTGTAAGGACAGTTTTGATTTAGGATTAGAGGGACCCTGAAACTTTCACCAGCCTCTGGGCATTATGGGAGGGTGACCTGGAAAATCAAATGCAGAGAAATGTCTCAAAATATAAGAGCCCTGTTTGAGGCATAGTCGAAGCTATTAGCTTAAGAAATTGGTCTGGAAATCTTATTAAAAGCAACAAATCATTCCGCATTTTCTCCAGACTGAAAATATTGGGGGTAATAGACTTTCCTTGATGCCTCGGATCCATGTACCACGTGTCAGGATCAAACTCCAACAGGGCTAAATTCAATGCAGGTGATAAAGGCAGTTATTTATTTATTTATTTATTTATTTTGTAACGGACAGTTCTGATTAATTCCGATTTCTCTGGTCAGCCTCAGACTTATCTGTACCAGCTTCTCATTACTGTGAAGGTTGCAAGGCAGAAGAGCCAGTGGCAAAGAGAAATGAAGTTCAAATTGTGGATTTGTCATTATTGCACAACTCAACAGATGACTGTCCAGCCTCAGAGGCCCCTATGACCAGCCCCTGCCCCCTCAGCTCTGCCTGTTGCAGTGAGAAAGTAGCCATAGATGATACGTAAAGAAGTGACTGTGGCTGTGTTCTAATACAACTATCTTTACAAGAACAGGTGGCTGGCCAGATTTGGCCTGTGAACCATAGAATGCTGACCACTAATGTAAGGTACATAATATCATCCCTAAGCTAGCATTTTGGGAGCTCTGGTGGCATAGGCCTAAGGCATTTGACTTCTAACCAGAAGGCTGACAGTTCAAACCCACCAGCCACTCCTTGGAAGAAAGATTGGGCAATCTACTTCTGTAGAGATACCTCCTTGGAAACCCAAGGAAGGGTCACTATGAGTTGGAATCGACTCGACGGCACTGGGTTTGGTTGGTTTGGAAGCTAGCATTTCAAGGAACTCTGGTGGTGTAGCATTTGGGTGCTAACCAAAAGACAGTGGTTTGACCCCACCAGCCCCTGCACAGAAGAAAGGTGGGATGCTCTGCTCCTGTAAAGATTTACAACCTTAGAAACCCAGTGGGGTCAATATGAGTTGGAATTGACTTGATGTCAGTGAGTTTGCTTTTTGGTTAAGCTAGCATTTTGGGACCCACAGCTAGGGAGGTGGGAGATGCATGCTTTTCTCTCTCCTCCTCCCTCCCTGCTCCCAACTCTTCCCTTCTGTGGCTGGGTCTGGAGGAAGGAAGGAATACAAGATGTTCTCTCATGTGACTCCCCAGGGTGAATTGTCTTCTCTTTCAACGAAGAGGAGAGCAATCATTGTGTCTCACGAAAACCCTGCATCTATGGTGGCTGTAAGAAGGCCACTGTATTTGTGTGGTCACCTCTGTCAGCTGAGCTTCTTGCCTGCAAACTTGGTATGAGCCGTGGTGGATGGCACTGATGACAGACTCAATCCCAAGCTCCTCTCAAAAGCCTTGGTGGGTCTTTGTGAGCCTCAGCTACACCTTCTGGGAAACTGTCAAAGAGAAGGCCTTTCTAACACATGGTCTTTAGCCATGCTATAGTAGTCCCCAGAAAGCCTGTAGAACCAATCTTAGCTCTCTTATGTGCTCCAACTCTGACCTGGACAGGGTCCATCTCCATGCCCCTTGGAAACCAGAAATTTGAGGGCATGCTTTGCCTCTCTCAGGAGCCATACTCCTCCCCATGCTACCTTCTCCAACATTTTTTCCCCCAATTGTGATTATCAGGTAGTTCAACAGGTCCAGGGACAATGAAATATCCATTTCTCCTTCTTGATGATACCCATAAAGCTGAGGAACAATTTATGACCTTAGATGAGGGTTTCTCAGCTCAGCATTATTGATAATTTGGGCTGGATAACTCTGTGGACTATAATGACTGTTACAATTATCAGAAGCATCCCTGGACTCAACTTACCAGATGCCTGTGGTAACACCCAGTTGTGAAAGCCAGACTGGGCTCCAGGTCTTGCCATATGTTGCCTGGGAAACAAAGCGGCCTTCAATTGCTAACTACTGTCTTAGATGCAGGGGCAGCCATCACCATTTACTCTCAGCTATAGGCTCTACTTTCCAATTCCAGAGAAACAGAAACAATAACAAGCAAGTTTTATTAACACCATGTTTGATTATCTCTTGGTCCAAGGTAAAATCATCCCTGCTCTACCTATGAGACAACTGAGCCCCCGGTCACAAGCTATTAAGTAGCAGAGCCTTGATTTGGACCTAAGCTTGTTTGATGCCAAAGCCTTCTTCAGAAAAAAAAATACAAACAAACAAAATAAACTACTGATGAATTGATCATGAAATCAACACTGTGAAGGTTTGCCTAGAACGGGAAAAGTTGGCCATGATTCATGTTGGTGGGAAGAAAACTAAATTATACCTACCCTCCCCTTACTCTGTTCTATTTAATCCTGACAACACTTCAAGATAGATAATAATCTCCCCATTTGGCAGATGAGAAAATTGAGCCCCAGAAATCTTAACATGTAGTTTGAAGTCAGCAAACATTTTTCAGCCCAATATTTCCTGTCCAGAGCCATGATCTTTTAACAATCAAAAGAGTGGCTGGCTATTCCTCAGTGGGGGGGTTGAGTCTGAACTCCTATGTAACACACTGCCTTTCTAGCCAGTGCACTCTGCTGGCAATAAGAAAAGATCAATGATAAACGAAATGAATGTCTCCCCCTTGCTTGGTCTCTTCCTGTGACCTCTTTCCTTGCCTTAGCTCTGCATGCAATACTGGCCTGAGAAGACCTCCGGGTGCTATGGGCCCATCCAGGTGGAGTTTGTCTCTGCAGACATTGACGAAGACATCATCCACAGAATATTCCGCATCTGTAACATGGCTCGGGTAAGTCAACTCCACTATCACTCCCTATGCATCTCCTCCCTAAAGCAGATGGAGGCTGCAGGGAGAGGATCCTGCAGCGCTGGCTGCAATTCTGTGTTCTGCTCTACTGATAATCACTTCCTTGGGAAAGCAATGTCTTTGCTGATTCCAGCTCCAGACCTAGGAATGACTCCAAAACACAACGATGCAAAGAGCAAAATCCAGCCTGCCATCTGCCTGTTTCCTGACGCACTTGCTACCATGTAGACACAACTTCTCAGAAATTAGTTCTTCCCCACTGTGGCACACTCTTTTAGCATGAGTCGATACAGCCCTTGATTGGATCCAGTAAGCTTTGGGCTAGACTCTGGGCACACAGAGATGAAAAATAATTACTTGCTTCCCTAGGGAAATTCACCAGCTGGGTATAGGCATACTGAGGGGGAGAGAGGCAGATTAATATTCTACAAAAAAGATGACTAACTACAGCACTCAGATGTGTACTTGGTATTGGGGGCCCAGGGTGGACAGAACTCAATCCCTGCTCTTGGGATTCTTTGTCTACTGGAAAAGTGAGGTATGTTCTGGCACATGAGCCTCACACAGAGAGAAAAACTCTGCCCAGAAGAGCCAGGATAGGCTTCCATAGAGGAAGTTTTCCAGGCAGACAGGGGGGAGGGCATTCATGGCAGTTGAAACTGCTCATAAGAGGTAGATAAGAGGATGATCTGTGTCTCTCCTCTTCATAAGCTTAGACCCCATTTAGTCTGTCTTCTACTACAGTGATTTCTATGCAGTCCCAGGGTATCTGGGCTAGAATCCCCAAGCCTCTTCAGCAGATCAGCCCTAACAGTATCTCTGTTCTCAGCCACAGGATGGGTATCATATAGTCCAGCACCTCCAGTACATTGGCTGGCCAGCCTACCGGGACACACCCCCCTCTAAGCGCTCTCTGCTCAAAGTAGTTCGACGACTGGAGAAGTGGCAGGAGCAGTATGATGGGAGGGAAGGACGCACTGTGGTCCACTGCCTGTGAGTACAATGAAGGTGTCTCCAGGGCAACAAAGTGATGGATGAAAGACATCCTTGGGGATGCCACTGACCACATGCACCAGTCTTAGGCATGCCCTGCTGCACCAGATCTCAACATTCTTTGGATAGCCAATGGGAGTATAATCAATGAATTGAAAATATTTAATATACAGAGGTTGCCAGACTATTGCCCTAAACCATTCTAATGTGACATATTATTTATGGCAAAGCTGATGGCTTTTCTGCTAACATGGAGGCAGATCTCTTCCTAATTCTCTAACAGGGCAGTGAGCCCCAGTCTCTACCAGGAGTCATAATATGACCTATTAGTCACAAAGCATCTCTGGTGGTGCAGTGGTCAAAGCATTCAGCTATTAACCAACAGGCCGGTGGTTTGGACCCACCAGCCCCTCCATGGGAGAATGATGAAGCAGTCTGCTTCTGTAAAGATTTACAGCCTTGGAAACACTATGGGGCAAGCTCAGAACAAAGTGAGCTCCACAGACCAGTCCTTTCTCTATTGTTTCCTGAAGAAGAAGAAAAGGGAATTTGATTATATTAGTCTTGATGCCAGACATTTTACATGAATCATTTCCTTCCATCTGTGAAGTAGATATTATCATCATCATTCCAAAGTAAGAAAATTTATGCATAAGGAGGGTAAGGAATCAGGTAGGTAAGAGGGGTGCTATGATTTGAATCCAGTTCTACTGGGCTCCAAGGTAATGTACCATCCACTTAGCCAACCTGCCTCTACATATACCAAAGGTCTTGTGCACCATGTCTGTCCCCTGAGGCATCTCTTACTATGGGCTCAGTGGGAACATAGGGATACAGAGAGTGTAAGGAGAAGGCACTGCTCGGAGGAGCTGGTAGATGCATGTGGAGGGACCTGGGAACTTCACAGGGGCAAAGTATGCTCAAGGCCAGCTCTGTTTATACCTCCATTAACTGGGATGTCCCAGGGCCTTAACCACTTATCTTAGAATCACCATAACCAAGATGTGGGGATTCCCAGCCAAATGGACCCAGATGTCATTATGCTAGAATGGAGGTCAGAACTCTTAAAGGACTGTGGAAGGCAAGTTGCCAACATCAAGAAGCTCACTTAATTTTGTGAATTTCAGTTTCCTCATCTTTCCAAAGGGTATGTTGAATTAGATCATCTGTAAGCCTTCTAGAGTTTTAGCTTACAAGCTTTAGAAAACAAACACAATTTATGTACCATCATAGAGGTCAACAGCATCATGGTAGTGAATATACTAACATTATCAATGAAATTACTTATATTGTAAAATATAAAATATAGTATAAAATAAGATATAAAATACCAAAAGAGTAACACAAAGTCTACGTATGAGTATAAAGTGGCCACAGAGAAGGATTATATAAAGATCTCAGACCCAAAATTAATCTGCAGCCATAATAGCTAAGTATGGGACATTTAATTCACATGATTCACTTTTCTTCTTAGAACTAAAACAATTTAGAGAATGGTAATTGAGAAGGCTTCTTCCTTTAAAACATGTTGTGTTAAGAAGTATGAACAAGATCTTACCTTCCTCAGAATAATTATTTCTGGAGCAGTGGAGGCAATAATAGCATCCCACTGACCTCAGAATTGAGTTCAGTCTTTTCAAAACCAGTTTATTGTTCCCCTCTTTCAAATGTGATGCACACACATGTTAGAAAAATCAGAGAGCTCAACAGAGGTTAAACACACACATACATGTCACTTAAGGGTCTCCACCAACATAAACCCCACCATTTCCCAAATCATCCAAATCTTAGACCAGAGTCCAAAGAGATGCTGTGAGGTATCCCAGGTCAGAATGCTGGGTGACGTCAGCCAACCCACATCCCTAAAACTGACAGCTGGTTCTCTCCTAACCCTTGCTCCCTCCATCTCCCTCCTACATCTTCAGGTGCCCGCATAACAAGCACAGAGCCACAGCTCTCCCTTCAGAGTTGCATTCTACCAGGCCCTGAGATGCCTCTGTCTGTGAACCTCTTCCTCTTGGACTCTGCTGTTGTTGCAGCAATGTCTGAACCCTCCTTCCTGGAGATTTCTTCCTGCTTTCTGTCACATGTTTGTTTTTTAGTTTGATTTATTTACAGGAGTACCTTTCTTAAATCCATGTCTACTCCAGGAGTTTTGAATTAGGAAGATTCCTAGAGGAACTTTCTCTAAAGAGTTTGAGGAGTGTTTCCATGAAAATGAGTTATGGTGCTGCAGAGAGAAAGAGTGACAAAGGGATGTTATTGTTGTTGTTAGGTGCCGTCGAGTCATCTCCAACTCATAGCGACCCTATGCACAGCAGAAAGAAACTGCCTGGTCCAGCATCAGCTCCATGATCCTTGCTATACTTGAGCCCATCATTACACCCACTGTGTAAATCCACCTTGTTGAGGGCCTTCCCCTCTTTTGTCGACCCTCCACCTTACCAAGCATGACATCTTTCCCCAGGGAATGGTCCCTTCTGACAATATAACCAAAGTAGGTGAGACGAAGTCTGGCCATTCTTGCTTCCAAGGAGCATTTCAACTGTACTTACTCCAGGACAGATCTGTTAGTTCTTTTGGCAGTCCATGGTACCTCCAGCATTCTTCGCCAGCACCACAACTCAAAAGTATCAATTCCTCTTTGGTCTTCCTTATTCATTGTCCAGCTCTCACATGCATACAAGGCAACTGAAAATAATGATGGCCTGTATCAGGCACACCTTAGTCCTCAAGGAGACATCTTTGCTCCTCAGCACTTGAAAAAGGTCCTTTGCAACCAACTTGCCCAGTGCTATATGTCATCTAATGTCCTAAATGCTGCTTCCATTGGCATTGATTGTAGAACCAAGCAATGTGAAGTCTTTGGCAACTTCAATCTTTTCTCCATATATCATGATGCTGCTTATAGGTCCAGTTGTGAGGATTTTTGTTTTCTTTATATTGAGATGTAATCCATACTGCAGACTGTATTCTTCAGTCGTCATCACTAAGAGCCTTAAGTCATCCTCACTTTCAGCAAGCAAAGTTGTGTCGTCAGCATATCACAGGTTGTTAATGATTCTTCCTCCAATCTTGATACCATGTTCTTCTTCCTATAGTTCAGCTTCTTGGGTTATTTGCTCAGCCTATAGATTGAATAAATACAGGAAAAGGATACAACCCTGACACACTCCCTTCTTGATTTTAAACCACACAGTATTCCCTTTTTCTGTTATGACAGCCTCCTGGTCTGTGTACAGGTTCCTCATGAGTACAATGAAGTGTTCTGGAATTCTCATTCTTCTCAATGTTATCCACAATTTGTTATGATCCACAAAATCAAATGCCTTTGCACAGTCAATAAAACACAAGTAAACATCTTTCTGGTATTCTTTGCCTTGAGCCAAGATCCATCTGACAGCAGCTATGATATCCCTTGTTCTACATCCTCTTCTGAATCCAGCTTGCACTCTGGAAGTTCTCTGTCAATATACTGCTGCAACTGTTTTAATTATCTTCAGTAAGATTTTACTTGTGTGTGATATTAATGATTATTGTTCAATAATTTCCACATTCTGTGGGATTACCTTTCTTTGGAATAGGTACAAATATGGATCTCTTCCAGTCAGGCCAGTGGGCCAGGTAGCTGTCTTCCAAATATCTTGGCATAACCAAGTAAGTGCCTCCAGTGGGGTATCCATTTGTTGAAACATCTCAGTGGGTATTCCATCAATTCCTGGAGCCTTGTTTCTCGCCAGTTCCTTCAGTGCAGCTTTGACTTCTTTCTTCAGTACCATTGGTTCTTGAACATATGCCGCTGCCTGAAATGAATGAAGATCAACCAGTTCTTTTTGGTACAGTGACTCTGTATTCCTTCCATCTTCTTTTACATGCTTCCTGCATCATTCAATATTTTGCCCATAGAATCTTTCAATATTGCAACTCAAGGCTTAAATTTTTTCCTCAATTCTTTCAGCTTGAGAAA